TAATAATATCAAAAATTACACCTCAATTATCTACTACTAAAATCAGATATCCTGTATTAAGAAATTAATTAAAAAAGAAATTTTGATCAAATTATTATATATAAAAAACTAACATCTACTCGGGAACATCCCCATCCTCCATCATGTGTGAAATTTGTTGATTTAATCGCAGTGTTGAATAATAATTTGCTACGCTACTTCATTTTTTTTCATCCTTTTCATAACGTTTTCCTAATAACCAATTGAATTATCTCTATTATTATTATTGATATCTTCAATAGGTGTCCAAAACATAAATAAGGAATTAAGAATTTCATCTGTGATAGTGATCCTTGTATTAATCGGAGGGCAAGTCACATATAATATTGATACAATTATACCTATGCAACTTAAAAAAAAATTAAATTAATATTTTTATTAATATATACAAATAATTTAAACGCTTCTACTTGTACCCTTTGTTGTTTTTTAATATCATTTTGTGTAGGGATTTGATTCGATGCAAGCTATTGTTATATCAATAATAAATATTGCAAGTTATTGAAAAATTATTCAATTGATGCAATTAATGGAAATGGATAATTATACGATATCTTCCTAATAATTCAACACCGGATTGTTTAAAACATTTGCATGATACTAACAAAAAATTCTGTATTTTTTTTTTTTTTGCAAAATACATACAGTACAAAGTAAAATAACGCTTGCAAATTCTTGTTCATTTGAAAAATGTAAGAGTCGAGTTCAAATATCATACTAGATAATTTACTTAACAAGTTCAAGAACATAATCTTATCGATGCTACTTCAAAACGAAATTTAACTGTACTTTTGCTCAGATTTACAAAATCCTATTTCTTCTAAACATTTCTACTTCTACTTCATCTATTATTTCTACTACTTCTGTATATAGAATTGTTGATAGTAATTTCATGATATCTATCTCTTATTATTATTATTCATTATTTGAAGTTGTTGTTGATGAATTTATATTTATCGAACTTCCTCTACTTTTATTGATTTCATTACCATTATCACCACCATTATGATTATAATTATGCATGACATGTATAATATCATCTGGAAGAATTTAGCCTTCATCTAATTTATAATTTTGTAGGCATTCAATTATTGATATTTTGAACAAATACAAATATTGCTTTTAATAAGTATTGAAGATTTCTTTAAACATAACTATTCAAAGAAGGATATTAGAAGAAATGGTTTTGTGCATGTTTAAAAAATTCAATTTTATGTTTTTTTTTTATCTAAATCAATAATTATAAGCATAAAGCACACCTAACCTAGTAAAAATGTACAAAATGATAAGCGCATGGTTTCTGTATAGCACAATAAATAAAAAAAATTTTCTCTCATAATGATAAGAAACTATTTTTTTCATTGTTTTAAATTTAATATAAATGGTGCAGATGTACGATACAATTATACAAAAATAGGATCCCAAATAATTTACTGATAAATTTTAAGTTTTCGATTGTAATTTCTTTGCTCAGAAAATCTTTACGTGAAATTTGCACGAAAGTTTATAAAATATTTAAAGGAATAAAAAAAGCAATTGCTTGATCCGGCAAGCCAGATTTGAACTAGCGACCTAGAGATATCAGTGTTGAGTTTTGAAAGCTCACTACAGTCTCCCGCTCTACCAACTGAGCTATTGCCGGTTTCGATGATTTGATTTATAATAAAATGGATTATGATCGTGTGCTAAGAAGTCATCACAAGTATAAGCCGAATATACAATAACATTAATGATCTAAGCCCCAAATTTGCCACAACAACATTAATTTCGTAATTTGATTTAATTAAATAATTTCACGTTACATCTTCTCAAACCCATGAACACCACAAACAACTTTTCGTGTATCTTTGATCCAGTAATTTTTTGTTATTTCTAAAGCCTTATCATCAATTTTAATTGCACACAATTTTTGGATTTTCCAAATAAACATGCAAATCAGCTGGTAATTTATGATTTCCAACTTGATTACATCATCATCTTCCAAAATTTCGTTGAAAACGCCGAGAAAGCACCAATTTTGACTGTATTTTTATTCCCACATCTCAGCTTCTTCGGTATCTGATTTATCAGAAATTGAAATTTCATTTATTTCAGTCACTACTTCATGTAATTAATTTGTCATAATTAATATTTATATTAACGTAGTAACGAGTGTTATAAAAATTTTATAGTTTATTGATTGTTTAGTGTGGTGTCTACTTATTCTAATAAGATACAATATTTTAATTTTTTTAAAAAAAAAGAATAGTGAAAAACTGAATAAATAGTAAATTTCATGTCATGAGGATAAATTCCCTTTTTATTTTTATGATATGGCTGACTATAAATTAACGCGATCGTTTATTGATGTTATGGCGTAATGGCCGAGAAATAAATATCTCCGCGAAAAAAAAAATCAGACTTTAGATATTTTAATATATTTTATTAAATATAGTAAATTTATAAAAATGTAAATTATTCATTCTACAGTACGTACAACTTAGTCCAAGCAAATAAAATTTTTAGGTTGCAAATTTCATATCTCGATTTTTAATCACATGAAACATAAAATTTCCAATCTTGTATTCATTTTTTTAAAAAAAAATAAAGGTAAAGTAATTTATTAGTAAAACAATTAAAGAGTGGGTGTTAGTATTATAAAAAATTATATTTAATAGTCACCTCAAACAACTATTTCCTTTATGGGATTTCTATATTACATTCTTCAGTAACTTATAAAATAAAATACAATTAAAAATCAATTAAATTTATTAATATTAAAATCTAAGCAGAATTGATATTTGAAATTAAATATATATTATATACTTAGAAAATCTTTAGTAATTAATTCATTTGTATTTTATCATCGTTTTCATTAAGATTCTTAGGTTTTGGAAGATTTTTGAAATTAAAACCTCTACTGGTGTAGATTGCAGATGAATTTATTTCATATGCTAAACTATTTGTATTACTGTTATCCACTGGTCTTCGTTCTGATTTTGCATTCCAACATCTTTTCATTATGTCTACTAGTAATTGAGGTATAACACTATTAGATGGAATTTCTGGTCTATATCCATTACATATTTTGAAAACAAGATCTTTATCATGGGGAATATTGTAGAAAGGAGGAATTCCTGTTAATATTTCAAACATGATCATTATCTGATGCCTTTGAGTAATTATCATCACCAGATAATATTCAAGAGCTATATATGGAATTATTCTAAAAACCTTTTGTTTGCTATCTTTAGAAATTTCAGTTTCATCGGCTGGTTTAGATAAACCTAGATCAGTAATAAAGCACCAGTCATGATCATATGAGAGAATATTTCCGATATAAAGATCTTTGTGAATTAAATTAATCCCATTATGCATAT